CCTATTGGAGACGGACGTTAAACTAGGAGGTCCCGCCCCTTAAATAACCTAATAGTGTTGATAGGGGCGTTAAACCTATACCATTTTTTCACATTGGGTATTGCCTTTTCAGTGAGACAACGCCCTTGGCCTTCGGCATATTGTGGTAGGGTGGCTAGTTCCTTTCCACGCCGCCTTTACTTCCCCTACTCAGGGTACCCATTACTGCTGGGTGGGCTGGAGGAGGCGAAACAAATCAGTGTCCGAACCGAGGCTCGAACCCGGACTTCCGGCTTCGGAGACGAGCCTAGACAAAGAGTGGGGAAAAGGGCGGGGGAAGAGGTGGGGGGGGGCATGCAGGGGTGGGGAAACAGGTTGGGGGGGCAGTCTTTTTGTCTTTATTTTTGCTTGTTTGCAACTTTTTTTTTTGGCCTTTTTGTTTGTTTTGGGTTGGGATTTTTTGGAGAGGGGAGTTGTTTTGTTTTGTTGGTTCTGTTGTTTGGTTGTGTTGACCTTTCCCTATTGTATTGCATTGTGTTGTGTTGTGTTGCGTTTCATTGTATTGTATTGTGTTGTGTTGTATTGTGTTGTGTTGTGTTGTGTTGTGTTGCGTTGTGTTGTTGTGTTGCGTTGTGTTGTGTTGTGTTGTATAACCCTTTACCGAAGTAGGAGTCGAATCCTCTGTTCCAGGGCAAGTACTCGTCCTTGTAAAATCCCAGGTGCCATTTCCCCACCATGTGTGTGGCGTAACCGGCTTCCTTCATCTTGTCCGCCATTGTTGGACTGTCCAGGGGTAGACCGTTGGGTTGTTCCGAATGAATGGCATAATGCTGGAGACCCGTGTGGATCTGTTGGGGGGAAAGTACGAGGGAAGTAATGATATAAAGAAGTCTTAGTTAAAGCAAATTGCAGACGACAGCTTATGACGAATTTACGAAAACGACAGGCAAAGTTAGTTGGACACACAATGCGGAAAGAAGCATTGGAGAATATTGTAACAACAGGCAAGTTTGAAGGAAAGAGAGGCAGAGGCAGACAGAGGGAAAAGATACTGGACAAGTTGACAACATGGCTGGGACCAGCAAACCGACAAACACCATCGCTGCAACGCAGGACTGAGTGAAGTAGAGGTCCATGATCGCCCACGCCAGTCGGCAAGGCACCGGATGATGATGAATATTATGATATTTTTGTAAGCAGTAATATTATCGTCATTGTTATCACCAACAAAATTTTGGAGTTCAAATCAATTTGGCATTGCCCAATTCATTGTTTGAGAAACAAACGTGACTGTGTTCGGAAGGGTCGTGTTGCAACCCATTTTCACAGAAACTAAATAAAAACCTTGTTTTTGTTTTAGTTAGGTATTATGACAATCGCAACTGCATAAGGTCATATGTTTGTTTAGTAAGGTTTGCGGCGCTCGCAACAGCATAAGGTCATATGTTTGTTTAGTAAGGTTTACGGCAATCGCAACAGCATAAGGTCATATGTTTGTTTAGTAAGGTTTACGGCGCTCGCAACAGCATAAGGTCATGTGTTTGTTTTAGTAAGGTTTACGGCAATCGCAACTGCATAAGGTTATATATAAGCGCCAAGGGGTGGATGTCAACACAGAAGTTCAAACGCGGAATCAAGCTTACTCTGCTCGCCTCTCTAGCCTCAACACCTCAAAGTCTGCTTCGATTATCAAGGCACTCCGGAAATAGCAGTTCACAAGAGAGTGACAAACATACAAAAGAAGTAGAGGAAAAAATGACAATAGCAAGGATGAGGAAAGAAAAAGCAGCAGTTCCCCCTATGTTGTTCCGGCACAGTATAAGCATGGCACTGATAAATCAGCTCATTTACAATTCTGCTGTGCGTAAGAACATGTTAATATCCCTCTTTTAGGAATAGCCTAAAGACACTTCAGACAGTGGCACTGCCGTGGGGGGGAGGGGGGGGGGCTCAAGTTCTGTTATTTACATGACACTGTAATGTTTATGTGTTTATGAAGAACACCTTACACGAATGTTTGTGAAATTTGTGTAGATATAGGAAAGAAACTACATCATGTTTTCATATTTCTGACTATTTATGTTCAAACAGCATAATATACACATTATTAAGCGTTGGATATCGACAACATATGTTTTCACCGTCTTTTACGACACTTTTAGTTTGCAGTAAGACTCACTCGTGGTCGCCTTAACACGGTAAATGGCAAAACAAGGTAGATTTCTAATGTTCACTTACACTTGCGATAGCCCATCACACAAGGTAGACAATAATATACAGCTCAAGACGCCTCTTAAGATCATATCTATCTTGATATCAAATTCCTACGTGACTTGCTTTTTCATGAGTGGCGTCGGTGGCCTACTGGTTACGCTACCGGACTCGTAATCGTGAGATTGCAGGTTCAACGGTTCGAGCCTCAGCTCGGTCCGACGTCGTGTCCTTGGGAAAGGCATTTTGCACGAATTTCCCACTTGGCTCGGTCCTTTCGGAAATGGACGTTAAACTCAGGGGTATCGCCTCTTAAATAATCTAATAGTGTTGATAGGGGCGTTAAACCTATACTATTTCACTATCTTGTTGTTTTTTTCATGCTCAAGGCTGGCCGGAAATGAAACAAGTCCTTGGTGTCTTGGATTGTTTTGGCTGTTATCTACTGTGGAGAGCTTGGTCCTACAATGCGACATACCCAGCCGGCCCCCCTCACAGATACAACTGTACTCTCTGACCCTTTGAGTAGCGGGTGGAGATAATAAGTTATCACTATCTTGGCATGAGAGTGAGACGCATTTACGTGCATTTTTATCACAATTCAGTTGAAAGAAGCTAATTCGTGTGATTTTTGTTAGAACTAAATTGCATCGCTATCAAAATTCAATTGAAAGAATGCTAATTAATGTAATTTTGGATAAAACTAAATTGCATCGCTTGTGATTCTAAGCTAGCCATCCCCAACCTCATCAGTTTTGTGTCCTATTGACTAAATTCTCAGCTACCCAGTGATCTGGGTATTATTTGCTGCAGATCACAAATATAGCCACTAAAACATTCGCAAATCAATTATTTTCAAGAACATTTCAAACCTAACTGCAAAATATCAAATTATGGGTTAACACACCCCTGTAACCCCC